CATTGAATCATTGAACGAACATCTTCATCGTCTTCAATTTTTGTCGTGTTGTATGTGACATTGTGATCAACTGGATTAACTATTGGAAACCGATAAAAAATAGAAGTTACATGTTATTGTAAAGTTTCTTCTATTTTTTCCGTCAAGTGGGCTAAATCACTTTTTCGATGAATATTTAAAATATGTGTATATGTATTTTGAAAGACCACTCCAATATTATCATCGGTAAAAATATTACCATTGAAATGTAAGAGACAAGAAATATGATTTTGTGGCATTGTTTGAAGTAATATTCAAAGTAATAATTCAATTGTTTGAACAAGAGACAACTGTATTGGTATTAATAAACAAATCACTTTGTTGAATTCATTTCACGCATGTTGTCTCCATCTTAAATGGTGTGAACCTTCTCAGCATACACTCTCGCCAACTCAAATGGCGTGAATCTGCTCATACGTGCCTTCTCAAATGGAGTGAAGCTTTGGCACACGCCAAGTCAAATGGCGTGAGGGCATAGCTATTGGCGTGAATAACATACGTGCCATGTATATAAATGCAACATAAAATGATTATGTTTTCACATTAAAATGACTCCGATACTTTGCTCAGTATACATTATTCCGTATAACTCACAAGTTGCTATGTTTGATTATAGAAACGCATTTTCTAATCCTTTGGTTGTATGGCTTATGAAAAGATCTAAACTCATTCACTTGAAAAACTAATTACGTCAAATCACATATATTAATAGGAGCATTATAGAGATATCTTTCAACCGAGATACAATCAACGAAAATGGAGTGTTGATGCAGCATATTACAAAGTTAGTTACAGATACAGATGTATTTAACATGTTTGAGGATTTTTGAATTGGTGTTAATAAAACACCATTTGAGTTGTATGTTAGATTCAGTAGATCAGTCGATGAAGTTTTATCGTTGTGTACAAAACCGTGTAATTTACAATATTCTCAATAAGTATACAAATTTATATTTATTCAACTTTCATTAAATTATCCAACTACCTACCAACTCTAATTAAATTACTCTACTACCTACCAACTACAATTAATTAAATTATTCAACTACCAACCAACTATCATCACTCTCAAATTTTTCCTATAAATACTCAATCACTCTCACCTCATTTTTCCACAAACACATTTCATTCTATTCACTACACACTCTCTACTCTCTTTTGATAAGTCTTCAATCACTTCTTCAGTTTCACAATTATGGCCAATATGTTTTGGTATGGTACACAACATAGGGGAACATTAGAAAATATCAATGCTGTAAGTATTTTTGATTCATTCAATATTATTCATATTATTTATTTTTGAGTTTACAATATTAGTTTTGTTCATAAAACTTTGTTGCATAGAAATATTGGATATTTTTCTATATTACTTATTTTTATTACGGATTGATGATACTTATATTTCAAAATGGAGAATTCGCTCTCACAAATCTCTAAAGCCACATGTAGTCATAATCCCTTACCTACACCAATCTGGTTCCTACCATATATCTATAATAGGGTCCACACACATCAATTCAAGGTTAATTATAGCCTTACTAGAACGGTGGAGACCCGAAACTCATACATTTCATCTTCCAAACGGTGAATGCACAATTACGTTGGAAGATGTGAGTATGTTATTGGGGCTTCCTGTAGATGGTAAAGCGGTAAGTGGTCCATCCAAGCTAGGTGGGGGTGCATGGAGTTCTATTTTAGGGGATGAACCACCACAAAGTGATAAAGGAATGGCTACGAGGTTGACATGGCTTAAAGACATGTACCAACATGAACCACCAACCGAGAAGTATAAAATTAAACATGCTCGTATTTATATCTTACTGCTCATCGGGAAAGTTTTGTTCCCTAACAAAAGCGGTAATACTATACACTCAAAGTGGACACAATTTGTTGTGGATTTGGAAGATTGTGGAAATTTGAGTTGGGGTTCCGTCGTTTTAGCTAATCTATATAGGGAAATGTGCAAGTCTGTAGACATCAAAGTAACAGAGATGTCAGGATGCGTTTTACTTCTTCAAGCTTGGGCTTTTACACGCATGCCTATTATATCTTCGGTGGCTCTGCTTCAAGCTCCATATCCTTACGCAAGAAGGTAATATTTTAATTTTAATTTAAATTTATAAATAAAATTGTTAGGATACTTTAAAATAAAGTTTAATTTTAAATTATTTTTAGGTGGTGCATCAAGAAACTTGACTACCAAAATAACCCGCGCCACCATCTACAAGGATACCGATTCAGGATTGATCACGTGCTTCAAGATCAGATTTTTTTGTATTCACTTTAATACTTCATATAAATTTATGAATTTTATTTTGGTTAAACTAACAAGTTTTATCTATAACTTTTCAGTTTATTTGGAGGTCGTATCTTGGTTTAGCGCCCCAAAGGCACGGTGACAATTTTATATGGAGTTCAACTACATATATACTATATTTTCATATTGTAGAAATGCATCAAGCAGATAGGGTCAAACTATAATTTGGCCATTTACAAGGGATACCTGAAGAACCTCGATGCCTGGATGAACACCATAAGATGACAACAATAAAAGCGTGCCAAAAAGCATATACCATACTATACTCTGATGAACAAAATTGTTGGTTGCATTGAGAAATGTTTATGTTGCATGGAGATCAATTACAAATAGAGGAGAAATCGTCAAATGAGTACTTGCAATGGTATCACTCGCTTCCATATAGATATGCATCGTACAAACAATTTCTCATTGACCCTCGTCAAAATCAGTATGCCCCTACTCAGGCAAATGGCTCTCAACAACCTCACCACTCACATCATTCTCAACCTCCTCATCCCAAATCCTTCCAACAACAAACGCATATCCCCCACTTTTCCCAACAATAAACACCCATCCCCCATTATCTTGAACAACAAATTTCTAACCCTCATTTTTCTCAGCTACAAACTCCTGCCCCTTATTTTTACCAAAATCAAACCTTTAACACCCAATACCCGCAATCGCACTCCCAACCAAATTACATTTATGAATCCCAACAACCACAAATATATCATAGGCAACTACACAATTCACACCCATCATGCGACCAAACTTCGATTCCCCCTCCTCCCAACATAACCCTACAACGCCTTATGTTCCAACCATGTGTCCGCCACAACAACCACAATACAATTTTGGCGAGGATCTTAACGTCATTGATTATGATTTACTAGAAAGCATTTGGTCTCCTCCGCAAGCTACAACTCCAACTCAAGAAAATCCTCCAACATCAGATGCAACACAAGAAAATCCTCCAACAACATAGACCCAACAATAATATGGTGTTGGTCATCGTGCTCCTCGACTGCGTTATTATTTTACCGGTACTCGTTTAGGACCGGGTCATCAACATTAAATATTGTAATTGTTAAATTTTATTACTTAATAATAATTTTTATTATTTAATTATAATTGTTAATTTATAATTATTTAAGTTTTTAAATTAATATTTTATTAATTAATTTTATAATTAAATATTTTATTAAATTATTTATAATTAATAATAAAATTAAATAATAAAAATAATTAATATAAACAAAGAAAATCCAGAAAACAAATTAAAAAAAATAGCACTTTCACGCCATTTCAAATGGCGAGAGTCCTTGTTGTGCAGTTGGGTCCCACGTTTGCATCATTTGAATTGGCGTGAATCCCCCCTGGGTGTGGCATTCTGAGAAATTTGTTTCAGGATGTGGCATTGTAGGAAAATTGTTTCAAGAGTGTGGCATTGTTGGAAAGAATTCGAAATTTGATTCCATGACGGGCATCATGGAGGATGACGACCCACTAATCATGGAAGTTGATTTCTTGATTTTTTTTCTCCCTTTTTTTCCCCATAATTAATACCAGATGCCTTTTATTTGTAACACAATTAAAATACCTAATATTTACGGTAAAATATGAAAAAAAACATACATAAAATAGGGAAATAAAACTAAATAAAAATGGTAAAAATGCTAGTGATCAAACTCTCGCACACTTGAACCGTTGCTTATCTTCAAGCAACTTGGCATGAGTGATGATAAATCCAGCAACGTGCTTAGGAAAAAGACTTATGAAAAATACCAACATGTATGACTTATCTAGACCTTATGTTACACGAACCAACTATCCAACAACAACTCTTTATGAAATATTGGTTCATATTCATTATCATAAAGATATGTATTTCTAGTAGTTGAACTTCTTCAAGTTCTACTTCACTCCCACTGACTTCTTTAGAGATTTACCTTTGTTAGAAGAATACTCTTATTCTAGCAATAAAATCACTTTTAACCTAGAAAATGTTATAGAACATGTGTTCCTTCTTTTCATCGGAGTTCTTACATAAATACACATTCATCTAAATTGTGATTAAGTATATAAAATAAATCTTACAACTCAAATTATCATAAAGACAAACTATGTGTTCTTACCACCATATTAAATAGTGTGTTTCTACAACTTTTTTAAATGGAGCTGGTTACGAAAAAGAACAAGTACTTATAAAATAACTTATAAAAGGAGTCATAAAGATATAATCCAATATTTTTTCATTAGATTTAAATGTGGGCAAATGATGATGATAGTAAATATTGACTTCATATTTTTATTGCTTACTATTGCTTACTAAATACTTTAAATTAAATTATATTATTAATAAAATAAGTAACAATAATATTTCTTCCGAATAAAAAATTATGCGTCTTAATTAAAAAGTTAAAAGTGTCTCTTTTATATTGTAACATAAAATTTAGCAAGTTACTAAAAGAGATTTTAATATAGAAAGTGATCTTAAAAAATAACTTAAAAAAACCTTAGGTTTTAGGAGAGTTAGATCTATATATCAAATTTATTTTAACGTTTTGATAATATGTCATATATTATAAGACTTTGTTGATCATCAACTAAGGTAACCAAATTTCCATTAAGACTTTGATTAAAGAATCACTCTGAATTGACCATGACATTACTCAATAGATTTAATGTAATTGTGATCTTTATGATAAGTTTTGTGTTGGTTTTGGGAACATCGATATGCTCTAAAATTCCTCAACCACCTTCTGATGCTCCTTCACATAATATTAGTTATGCACCAAGACCATTGTCATCATATGAAAAATATTTAACTATTTGTTCAAGCAAATTAAAGAAAGAATGTGGAAAAGAGATATTCTCTAGTGTCTTTGTTGGAAATGGAACTGTTAGTGATTATTGTTGTCATAACCTTGTGAATGACGTTGGAAAATCTTGTCATTTTGACATGACAAGGTATGCAACACAATTTCCAGAATATTCAAAAAACAAAACAGAAATTTTAAATAGGTGTTCGAATGTTTGGAATTATTGCATCGCACTTCATCCAATGTAAACTTGATGTTAATTTTAATGACAAATGAATAAATGATAGCAATATGATGTATGAAATACAAAATATATTTTCTATTGAATAAATTGTGTTTCACGCATGTATTTTCATTTATGGATGGTCTAGTTTATTTTTAAGCATTTGTTTATATATATATATATATATATATATATATATATATATATATATATATATATATATATATATATATATATATATATATATATATAAAGTTTTTATTTGTTAGAAAAAACACAGAAGTGAAATGTCTTATATTTATAACCCTCTATACTTAAATTAATTTCAAGACAATTAAAATCCGACCAAACGTTAAATTAGTATAGATAATGTTCAAGGTTTTAAGGTCTGATTGAGGTTTAATTAAGATCCGATGGATAATATTTAAAAATAATATTTTTATATTTATAAATATTATACATAGCAAAAATAAATAAAAATATTAACATTTTTTCAAAAAAAAATTTTTTTGGTGATCTTTACTCATGAGGTTAATAGTTTTAAGTAAAAAATCATATATTTAAATGTCTTATAACAAAAAATATATTTAATATTGGCTCAAACCCACTTTAGCCATAACTTATAACCCTAAATGAAAACAAGTTCATAAATGTATTATCAAAACTTTAAGAAGTCGTCAACATTTTCGTTCCTCTCTTTATTCAGTTTTTTTCTTAAACACCTCTTTATTTTCTTTGTTTCTCTTTTGTAAAAAAAGTTAATATAACATATGAATCATTCCATCAAATTCAACTATAACATTAGTATTTTTCACTTTTGGTTTCTTTATAATGATTTTTTTAACTTCTTAGTCCTCCCTTAAAAATAAAAACCAAGCATTTTTGGTGGTCCCTTGCCATTTGTCAACCATTTTAATGATATGGCATCCAAACAGTTGACTAAATATTTGTCCCGTCATTAAAAATAATATATTAGTTATTTTTAATTTGTAATTTGATGTTTATTTATCGGAAATATATTAGTTATTATTATGGAATAAAAAATTAATAATTTTTTTTTTATAAAATACAAATTATGGCCTCCATCTCCATCTTCATCATTTTCAAACCGTAAGTTGTTCAATTATCCCCTTTCAACCAACATTCTTCTTTCGTCCCTTTTCTTCGTAGTCAAGTGTCATTTTCGTTTTTGGAAGATGTCTCAATGCTCGAAAATCAACAGTTTTGGAGTTACACATTCATGTTCATTTCGAAGCGAGTGCAGATGTGGTCTCGAAGCTCCATTGATGACTTCATGGACTGATTCCAACCCAGGTCGACGTTTTTTTGGGTGTGAGATGTACAAGGTAATATCCATCTTTCCTGGTTTGAAAATCTGGTATTGTTCATGTTAGAACATGATTTAGTTCTACATTCCAGTAAGAGTTTTGATGATGGCAAACACATGATAATAAAGAACAAATATGCTCACTAATAAAAGTATCGTTTCATGCAGGAAGTTCTGATGTGAAAAAGATGTTCTAATGAAACTGGAAGTTCTTCCAGAACATCACCAGAAGTTCCCAGAAGTCCTGATGTGAAAAAGATGTTCTGATGTAATTGGAAGTTCTGCCAAAACATCACCAGAAGTTCTGATTATGCAAGCACAAAAGTTGAGAAGACAATGAAAGATTCAGATGCATCAAATATGCATGACACACTTATATGAAGAAGTTCTGATTAAACTTCTCAATGCACCAGCGTTGCGAAACAGAATCTCTAATACTCTGATGTGCAAAATTTTGATCAAGCTGTAAAGAACTCAACGCTAATATTCATCCATCAATGCAAGATCATAAGTAACGACTACAGACAAGACAATGATCTCTTGATTTGGAAAGCTCATTAACTCGTGTTATGGACTTGCCAAAAGTATCTTCTTATGTCTCTATTGCAAGGCCTATATAAAGCAGACTAGAAGAAGATTTCAAGATGATGAACAACTGCGCTCATAAAGAAAAACTCACGTGAAAAAGTAAACAACACAACTTTCATTCTTCATCTTCAACGATTCAATATTAAAATGTGTAACACATCACAAGTTTATGATACTTTTTATTTAGAAACATCATTGTACACTTTTATTCAATTAACTATTTAGTGAAATTCCTTGAGAAAACTGGGTTGTGGTTTTGGACTCAAGAAGACTTTAACAGTTCTTAAAGTAGAATTGTAATCAGTTTGATTAGGGAATTAAGTCCTCCTTGGAGAGAGGCGAAATCACCTTGGCGGGTGGACTGGAGTAGTTTGAGATCAAACAAACCAGGATAAAAATAAACGTGTTCCTTACTCCATTGATTTTTAAGTTTCAACTCAACCCCCCTTATTGTGTTTTTCACTTCTTCAATTGGTATCAGAGCACCTGGATCTGGGTGCAAACACTTAACCATATCAGATAAAGATCCAAGGGGGAAAAACAATATGATGGGAACAAGTCAGAACATCAGCAGCAACCCTCCAATATTTGACGGTGAAAATTTTGACTACTGGAAGGATATGATCAAAAGTTTCTTCCTAGCCTATGACGCTGACCTCTGGAATGTGATAACTAATGGATATATACATCCTGTTGATGAAAGCGGTCAGAAGATTGACAGAAAAAGGATGACAAATCATCAAAAGCAAGACTTCAGAAATCATCACAAGGCCAGAACGATTCTCTTGAGTTGCATCTCATATTCAGAGTATGAGAAGATCACAAATAGAGAAACAGCTAAGAACATGTTTAATTCTTTGAGAATGACGCATGAAGGCAACACGCAAGTAAAAGAAACCAAATCCCTTGCGCTCATTCAGAAGTATGAAGCCTTCAGAATGGAAGAATATGAAACCATTGAAATAATGTTCTCTAGATTCCAAACTCTGGAGACAGGGCTAAAGGTGCTGGACAAAGGGTACTCAATTATTGATCGTGTAAAGAAGATCATCAGAAGTTTACCAAAACAATAGAGACCAATGGTCACGGCTCTCAAACTGGAAAAAGATATGAACATAATATCTCTAGAAGAACTTGTCAGCTTCCTCAGAAGCCATGAGATAGAGTTAGAAGATGATGAGTCTCAGAAGCAATGTAAGTCTCTCTCTCTGAAATCTAACAAATATGAAACCAAAACTTTGCAGGCAGAAGCAGAAGCAAAAAACTCTGGAGAATCCTCGTCAGAAGAAGACGAACTGTTCTTTCTATCTAGAAGAATCAATCAGCTGTGGAAGCACATGTAGAAGAATTTTAGAAACTCCAGAAGAACAGGAAATGACTCTGAACAATCCTATGGATACAAAAAATCAAGTAACAGAATCAGTACCTGCTATGAATGTAATAAACAAGGTCACTATAAAAGTGATTGTCCAAGGCTTCATAAGGAGAAACATAAAAGGAAGTTCGTTAAGGAGAAGAAGAAAAGTCTTATGGCAACATGGGATGACTTTGAATCTTCTGAAGACGGAACAGAATCAGAAGATGAACAAGCCAATATAGCTCAAACGGATAACTTATTAGATGTCTCCGAATCTTCTGAATCAGAATCAGGTTCAAAATCAGACGCTGAAGAGGTATTTCCTGACTTTATTGTTAATTTTACTAAAGTTGAACTAGGAGAAAGTCTGAGTGAAATTTTGGAAAGGTATCAGCAGCTCAGAGTCAAATTCAAGAACCTGAAAAAGGATCTTGCTTCTGACTCTGAAGAAACTGAGAGTCTGAGATTAGAAAACTCTGAGTTAAAAGAAAAGATTTCAAAACTAGAAAATGATATACAAAACTCTCAGAAGGAAATAATCTCAGGGGATCCCAATAATGCTGATAAGATCATAAATGAATATGACCAAAGCTTTCAGAAGTTTCTGGCTAAAAACATAGATAGAAGCAAAATGGCTTCAATAATCTATGGAGTTAACAGGAATGGCAGAATAGGTATAGGATACAAATGTAAAGTATCCCAACCTAAGAAAGTTAAGGATCTGGTTATCAAACGCACTCCTCTCTATTCTCACTTCACCACTGGGAAAACACATGATATAAAACATGCTGGTAAGGCGTTTTATACTAAACCAAATTTCAAACAGAATTTTGGAAACTCTAACAGTCATGGACCCAGAAAGATATGTGTACCAAAAGACAAAATCATCTATGTCGCAGATATTTTTAACAGCAAGGTTGAAACTTCAGTATTAACACCTGGACTCTGGATGCTCTCTACACATGGGGAAAGAAAGCATATGTTCCAAAGCCTTGAATTTAAAAGATTCGCAGGTTTCACAGGCAATCAGAAACAGAAGATTACTGGCTCTGAAACTATTTGAAACAGGAATGGAAATACAGCATCATAAGCTCTCTAAAGAATCTCATATGTATCCAGAAGAGGATTTCACACTGTTTCAAGCACTTCTGTCAGAGCAATCCAATCAGAGTCTTTACCACTTTTTGATTCTTGACAAAAAGGGGGAGAATGGAGAATATTTTGACTCATAATCAGAAGATGGCCAGGGAAGTATTTTATTTTATCTTTAGCCGAGTATTCTACTCAGGGTGGGCCTTTTAATTATTGTTCTTTATATTTCATCAAAATATACTAGTTTTGTCATGATCAAAAAGGGGGAGATTGTTAGAACATAATTTAGTTCTACATCCCAGTAAGAGTTTTGATGATGACAAACACATGATAATAAAGAAAAAATATGCTCGCTAATAAAAGTATCATTTCATGTAGGAAGTTCTGATGTGAAAAAGATGTTCTAATGCAACTGGAAGTTCTGCCAGAACATCACCAGAAGTTCCCAGAAGTCCTGATGTGAAAAAGATATTCTGATGCAATTGGAAGTTCTGCTAGAACATCACCAGAAGTTCTGATTATGCGAGCACAAAAGTTGAGAGGATAATGAAAGATTCAGACGCATCAAATATGCATGACACGCTTATATGAAGAAGTTCTGATTGAACTTCTGAGTGCACCAGTGCTGCGAAACAGAATCTCTAATACTCTGATATGCAAA